AAACTATCTCTCTTTCTATCACATTATATATCAATCTTATATATATTTTTCTTTCTTTTTTCCTAAATATAAACTAACATGATAATTTTCATCTATAAATATATAATATTTTTATATATATATTTTAGGGAAAAAATATTTTTAATATGAATTTGATACATTTTAAATAAAATGGGGACCAGGGCCCCTCGGTCCCCCCTCCCTCCACCCAAATAAATTGGTGAACAAGTGGTTTTCGTTCTGCTCAAACTGCAAATTCCACCCAAGACCTTGTTTTGTTGTGAGTGGAAACCAAAAGAAACGATGACAAATTTTGCAAAAATCACAACTTGAATTAGAAAAACCTACAGTAATCATATTGGGACTCGAGAGATCCATGTTTTATTTCTGAATTTATTTTATGTCTTTTAAGGAAATGATTAAACTATGGTGAGAAGAATGTTGCAGCATCTCAAGACAGGTGCTATGAGGATTGTAGTGAGTATTCCTTTGCATTCTAAATTACACAACCCTCCAAATTTCAAGGTATGAAAAATCCGGATAATAAAACCAAAATGCAAGTGCTTGCAGAATATTAATACATAAATTGCAAAAGAGATCTCTATGCAAGCCAATCCTCAATGGACTTTAGCCCCCTATGCTTCCGAATCATTCAAATTGTGGGCCACATGTTTTGTTGGATCTATTTAACTTTACTCTCCATACTTCCAACTTCTAAAACCTTCAAGATAAATAAAACATTATTATTGGTTCATCATCAGATAACACCACATATATCATCGTTTTAATTATTTTAAGTCCTAATTTGGATTCATTAGGTGTTAATCTTCGTTTTCTTCGAATCTCTCAAACTCGACCTTACAATTCAGAAAACATTAATTCTGGAAATTCAAAACTAGGGAGGTTATAAATCTCACTTATTGAAAGTTAGGGGGCATTCGGTTACAAAGTCATTTGGGTCTCTTCTTAGTGGCTCCAATAGCTTAAAGAAGATTTACTTGGATTTACCATATATCATATGTTGTTATGCACGTAAAACAAAAAATATAAAGCATTACAAATTTATTAATAACTTTTCTATATCACCAAAGAAAAATTACAAAATTAGCTAGCAAATTTTCTTACTAATTCCTTATAAATATTTTATCTCCCTTGTTTTGTTCATAGCAACACTCAAATCATGAAGAAAATGTGAATTTTCAATCTCAGTGTCATTTTTTTTTGCATCCCTTTAAGTGCTTTCTGTCATCAATACACTTCGACTTGAGACTTGTTACTATTCATATCAAAGGCTAATACATAATATGTGATTCATATATCCACGTGGTTGAAATCTCAGCTTCTTTTTTGTTGAAGCCAGTTGGTGAATGCCTCGAGGGTTTTCATGTCAGCTCTGTAATGTTTCTGAGTGAACTCTAGCAACATAGGCCATGTAAAATCTGGGTACATCCTTGGTGTCAATTCATCCACCAATTCACTTGGTGGACTAACCACCTTATCACCCTTTGGACACAAAAAGAAAGCCAGAGATTTTCTTGTTGTCTTGCTGTTCACCACTGCCCTATGCAAACAACTTTTGTACCTCCCATTTGATAGAGCCTACACAATAGAAAAGTGAAACAAACAAGGTTGAATCAATAACATCACACAAGAAAATAGAAATCATTGACAATAAAAAGAACGTGGTTGGATACAAAATAAAAGTACTTTTTGAAAGTTTTTTTTATCAGAAAAAGTTCTTTATTTTCAGTAGAAAAATTCTTTACTTTTTTTAACTTATATCTAGATAAACTTAAAGATAAGTGCATTTTAAGTTAGTTATATAGACCAAAAAAAACATACCATGAAAGTGTCACCAATGTTGACAACAAAAGCATTAGAATTTGGGCTAATGGAATGCCACTCATTGTCAACAAAAACTTGGAAGCCACCCACTTGATCCTGGTGAAGAATGGTCAAAGATGTTGGGTCACAATGAGGTCCTGTGCCCAAAGTGAGGTCTGGTTTTTGACAAGGAGGGTAGTAATTGAGTCTCATTATTGAGTTATTCTCTTCAAATAATTCCCTAAAATATTCTTTGCCTACTCCAAGGTTCATTCCCAAAAGCTCCATTATCCCCAAAGAAAGGTTACTCATGGCATCACAATAGTCTTGGTACACCTTCCTGTTTTACAATGAAAAACACTTAATTTAGCATATGATCTTATTTCCGACCCGGACAATTTTAGGGGTCTACATTGACGAAAAGTCCGAATTAAGTCATTCGGTGTAAGAGCTTTATTTAGCGAATTCTGTAAGTATTGGTGCCGAGATGGGTCATTCGGCTGTGAAAGCTTATGAGTGAAAAACTGGACGGAAATGCTCCACTGATGCACGTTTTTGGGTAGAAAACTTAGTGAAACCATTCGGTGAGGGAACTTTTTTTAACGAATTCCGAGATGGGTCATTCGGTTGTTGTAAGTTTGTGAGTGAAAAACCGAACATAAATGTTTCGGTAATGCACTTTTTTAGTAGAAAACCGAGTGAAACCATTCGGTGAGGGAACTTTGTTTAACGAATTCCGAGATGGTTCATTCTGTTGTGTAAGTTTGTGAGTGAAAAATCGAACAGAAATGTTTCGGTAATACACGTTTTTGAGTAGAAAACCGAGTGAAACCATTCAGTGAAGGAGCTTGGTCTAACGAATTCTGAAGGCATATCCTTGGCCGAGTTGACTTACTGGGGAGGGAAACCTTTTTGTACGAATTCCGAAGGTACATCCTTGGCCGAGTGGACTCACTCGGGAGGGAAACCTTTTTGTGCGAATTTCGAAGGTACATCCTTGGCCGAGTGGACTCATTCAGGAGGGAAGCCTTTTGGTGCAAATTCCGAAGGTACATCCTTGGCCGAGTGGACTCACTTGGGATGGAAACCTTTTTGTGCAAATTCCGAAGGTACATCCTTGGCCGAGTGGACTCACTTGGGATGGAAACCTTTTTGTGCAAATTCCGAAGGTACATCCTTGGCCGAGTGGACTCACTCGGGAGGGAAACCTTTTTGGTGAATTCTGAAGGTACATCCTTGGCCGAGTAGACTCACTCGGGAGGGAAACCTTTCTGGTGAATTCTGAAAGTACATCCTTGGCCGAGTGGACTCGAGAGGGATACCTTTTTAGTGAATTCCGAAGGTACATCCTTGGCCGAGTGGACTCACTCGGGAGGGAAACCTTTTTGTGCGAATTACGAAGGTACATCCTTGGCCGAGTGAATTAACTCGGGAGGGAAACCTTTTAGAGTTATAGTTCAAGTAAGAGTAAGAATGAACAGTGGGAATTGAACTGAATTTCATTGATGGGTGCCTCGTTAAAAACCTTGTCGGCCAAAACCCCTTTTCACTTTTTTATAAGGGGAGAAAAGACCAATCAAGGAAAAGAGTGCACCATGCATGTACATTGATGATTACTTTGTCATTACAAAACTGTCTAACTAAAATAAGTCTTCAAGTGCGTCGAGTTCCAAGTTTGTGGAATAATTTTTCCCGAAAGCTCTTCGAGCTTGTATGCTCCGTTGTGGAGATTGTGCCGAATTCGAAACGAACCATCCCAATTGGCCGCCAGCTTGCCTTCTCGTGGATTTCGGCGAGCCGTCCCTTGGACTCTCCATACAAGGTCACCTTCTTTGAATTCCCTCTTGTTGAGTGCATTGTTGAATCTCCGAGTCATTCTCTACCTACACAGGCTTCTGCGATTACCTGAGCCTTGTCAAGTACTTCTTCCACCGTATCGATTTTGGCTCGGACAGAGGTACATTCGAGTTCTCATCGAAATAAGTGCGCCGAAATGAAGGTTCTCCAACTTCTATGGGGATCATGGCATCGGTACCACACGTTAACCGGAAGGGCATTTCTCTTGTGATTGATTGGAGCGTGCACCTGTAGGCCCACAATACTTCCAACAACTTTCCGGCCCAAGCTCCCTTTGCATCACCCAAACATTTTTTCAATTCCGTGATACCTTATTAGCCGCTTCGGCTTGTCCGTTGGATTGTGGGTGCTCAACAGATGTGAATCGGTGCCGAATCCCCATATCGGTCATGAACTTGTTGAGTTTTTGGTTCGTAAATTGGAGTCCATTATCAGTGATAATAGCATATGGTATGCCAAAGCGTGTTATAATGTTCTTCCAGAGGAATTTCTGAACATTACACGCTGTGATGGTGGCAAGCGGCTCGACTTCTATCCATTTCGTGAAGTAGTCGACCGCTACTGTAACGCCCAATTTATATAATAATAATTATATATTTTCTTATATAAAAATTTTCTCAATTATATCATTAACAATATATTTTTTTTTTTGAAGATAAAGATAAAGAAAAGAATATTTGGTAAATTTATTACATAACATATCATTTTAAAATATTTACAATAATGTATTATTTTACACAATATTTCTTTCTTTCACTTCTATTACAATATTTACATTGATAGTGAGAATAAATTTACAATAACAAATAAAATTATAATAGATTCATCAAATAGTCTCCATATTCCAATTCCTCCCAAGTAGGACAGCAGTAATAATAATTGTAAAAGGACCTGGTATGGCCAGTAGATCCATCTATGTTATAATATATTAAATTTTAAAAACAAAGAAAAGAGAGGAGTAAGAACAATATCCAATAAATATAATAATTCAAAAGAATATACAAAATTATTTATACTCAATATTAAACATATATATATAAATATATATACAGATCATATATTAGATTTTCATGATACAATAAAATTTGAATTATACTTGTAGTGACTAGTCAGGATAAATGAGCATCATCATAATATCAACCAATAAAAGGATATTTCACCTTAACCAACAATATGATATTTCACCTTCATTTCTTACTCATTTAAATCCCCAAGGTCAAACCTCCAGCTACAAATAATTCAAACTTTATATTCTATGGCCATAGAACAATATTTATCTTCATAAATGTGTGAAGAAATAACAAGACGAGTCCAAGATATCCCAACTATATCATAGTTGATTATAAATATATTTACAATAAATATATTTACGTAAAAAGAATATATTAAAAATACCAATGATATAAATAAAAATGACAATAATTATAAAATAATTAAACAATATAAAATATGAACACCTTAATAATTAATATGGACAACAATAATTATAGGTTAAGCAAATAAATGAGATTAGGGACACCCCACTAAATAAATACATATAAAAAATAACATAAATAAATAAAAATAGTAGTAGATAAAATTTTAAAGAGATAAGGTTCTCCTTCCCCTTACCTGGATAAGCAGGAGCTAAAACTTGAGCAGAACCTCCCCCTCTGGATTCCCTCTTTCTTTCCCTCTCTTTCTCTCTCTCTCTCTCTCTCTAAGATTTTCACTTCTCACTCAGTTATAAAATTTTCACCCCTGATGCCCCTATTTATAGGCATTCTGACGCACCCGGAACGGCCTGTACTGAATTTGGAATGACCCGTTCCGGAGCTTTCAAATATACGTAAATTTCTCAACTGGAACGGCCCTTTCTAAAATTAGAACGACCCGTTTCCAAAAAGTAGAACGGCCTGTTCTAAAATTAGAACGGCCCGTTCTAGGTTTCTTTTTAACACACATTGACCATAAGCAGAACAGTCCATTTCCAACTTCACTTTCTAGGCATTTTTAGGATTCCGGAACGGCCCGTTTCCCTTTGGGAACGGCCCGTTCTGGAAAAACTCAAATAGGCACTTTTACTACTTTGGAACGGTTCGTTCCACTTTTGGAACGGCCCGTTCCGGGCCAGCAAACACAAGCCTTTTTAAAAATTTGGAACGGCCCGTTCCACTTTTGGGAATGGCTCGTTCTGAGCCCAGAATATTATTTTATTATTTTTAATTATAAAATCCCCATAAATATTTAAAATACATAATAATCATTTATTAAATCTATAAAATATTCTATATAAAAAGAACCACTTTTATTAATTAATAACTATAGAAAAATAATTTTCATAAATATAAAATATAAAATTTGGGATGTTACAGCTACCAACAAGAACTTGCACTGGCCTTTGGAAAAAGGGAATGGGCCGAGCAAGTCCATACCTCATAAGGCGAAAGGCCATGGTGAACTGATGCTGTGTAGCTCCTCAGCCGAGGCATGGATTAGGTTGCCATGCTTTTGACATTGAACACACCGCTTGACGAACTATGCACAATCACTATTAAGGGTCGGTCAATAATACCCTGCTCTTAATACCTTTACTACTAGAGTTCTGCCACCCGAATGTGAACCACAAATGCCTTGGTGTATTTCTCTCAATATGTAATCGGCTTGGACCGTGTCTAAGCATTTGAGCAATGGGGTTGAGAAGCCCCTCCTGTATAACTCTTCGCCGACGACCGAGTATCTGGCAGCTTGAGTTCGAATTTTTTTCGCGGACAAAGGTTCGGTAGGTTCCTTACCCCGTAAGATGAAATCGAGTAGTTCCGCTGTCCAAGTTGCATTGGGTGCTGCTGAATGCGTCTCTTCCACCATCATGCTTTCAGCTAAGGTTATGCTCGGAGTGGATAACTCAAGGTGCAAGGTAGTTCTGAGCTGGCTTGGTTTGCGACCACTGCTTGCCATTCGAGCCAACTGATCGGCTCTTTCGTTGTTCTCCCTCGGTGTATGCTTTATTTGGACTTCATCGAAGTTCAAACACATGTTATGGAACAAGTGATAGTAATGCAGTAGGTTTGGATCTTTGACTTGAAAATGATTATTAACCTGTTCTGATACGATCTTTGAGTCCTTCCAACAAATAAACCTTCAGACCCCGACTTCGCTTGCTAATCGCAGTCCTGCTAACAGTGCCTCATACTCCGCCTGATTGTTTGAGGCTCGAAATGCGAAGTGCATGGATTGTTCGAGGGTTACCCCCGTGGGCCCTTCAAGAATGATTCCTGCCCTGCTACCCATGTTGTTGGAGGAACCATCAACATGCATTGCCCATTGATCACTTTCGAATTGACCCTTCGGCTGTAGCTCGTTGATGAACTCGGCCAAGTATTGTGACTTAATCGGCCCTCTAGGCTCAAATGATATGTCGAATTCCAACAATTCAATAGAGTATGCCATCATTCATCCTGCCAATTCGGGCTTTCGCAAGACCTTAGCGATTGGGAAG